TTCAGTGGCAGCTCGCGGAAGGGTTGAGAAAGCCATGATCCTGAAACGTTCCTCTTCGAAGACGAAATGATGAAAAGTTTAGAAAAATTGGAAAATAAATTGGAAGAGAACAGTAAAAGTTTGGAAAATAAATTGGAAGAAAACACTAAAAGTTTGGAGAATAAATGGGAAGAAAAATTTAATAAGAATATTCAAGAAACAGAAGAGAAGATAAAAGTGCTGGAAGAATTGATTTTTAATGGAAAGATAAAACCAATCGAAAGGGATGTTGGCGCATTTCGTACACTCAACAAAGCCAGCCAAATCAGCTAAGGAAGCGGTATAGAGTCAAGAACACGAGTAAAACCACCAACGTTTGACATGGACCACATACCACAAGCAATTCGAGGCAGCTGCTAAGGCGCATAACTGGGCGCCTGAAGAAAAAGCCACTGCGTTGACCGTTGCGCTTCGTGGAGATGCATGTAACATTTTGAACACCCTTACCCCCGAAGAATTGGCGGATTATGAACAGTTGGTAAAACGGTTAGAGTTGCGCTACGGCGAGGTTCGTTTAACAGCGGTGTATCACATCCAACTGAAAACCCGTCAGCAGAAACCAACGCAATCCCTACAAGAATTCGAAGCCGATATTGCGAGCCTGTCTCGACTGGCCTATCCTAATACTCCAGAAGAATTGATGGAAAGGTTGGCAGTGGAGGCATTTACTGATGGACTTCGGGCCAGTAACACTCTACAACGAATACACCTTGACCGACCCAAGACGCTAGCTGATGTATTGGCTCGTGCATTGGAGTACGAAACTCGAAAGCTAAGATGTTGGAATTGCGACGAACTAGGTCATACGAGGAGGCAATGTAAGAAAAGTACTCCTTCCCCAAGTACTCGACGTCAACAGCAGGTAAATTCTGAAACAGTACCTGTATAAGTGGAGTGATTGACAGAGATTGTAGGAATCTAACCCGTGAGCAGAAATGTAAAGTGCAACATCTACTTTGTCAGAATGCCGACGTCTTTGAAACTGACAAAAATGGTAGGGGAAGGACCAATATCGTAAAACACAAGATCAATACCGGTAATGCGCAGCCTATTCGTCAAAGACCTAGACGGATTGCCCTTGGCCAAGAGGGAAGAAGCAGAGCGAATAATCCACGAAATGCAGGAGACCGGCATAATTGAGCCATCATCAAGTCCATGGACATCACCGGTAGTATTGGTAAAGCAGGATGGGACAACCTATTTTTGTGTGGATTACTGACAGCTCAACAACGTAACCAAGAAAGACAGTTATCCGCTACCACGGATTGATGACACCTTGGATATGCTTTCTGGCTCGAAAATGTTTTCCACACTCGATTTGAAGAGCGGAAACTGGTAAGTTGCTTTAGATGTTGCCGACAAGGAAAAGACCGCATTCTCGATCGGCACGGGCCTATGGCAGTTTACAGTTATGCCTTTCGGGTTATACAATGCCGGTCAAAAGGTTGATGGAGAAAATCTTAAGTGATCGAATTGGAAAGACCTGCTTGGTATACTTGGATGACATCATAGTGATTGGAAGCACTTTTAATGAACGCCTGCAGAATTTGCAAGCGGTATTCCAGCGGTTACGTGAGGCTAATTTGAAACTCATTCCGAAAAAGTGCTACCTTTTCCGCAAAGAAGTTTCTTACTTGGGACATGTTGTATCGGCGAAGGGCGTGGCCGTGGACTCAGAGAAGATAAAGGCCGTGAAAGCATGACATAAGAAACTTCTTGGGATTGTGCACGAATTATCGTTGCTATGTTTATGGATTCGCCAATATCGCCAAACCTTTGACACATTTAACCGAAACTGACCGCAAATTTCATTGGGATTCGGATTGTCAAACGGCATTTGAGACTTTGAAGCAGGCTTTAATCACAGCCCCCGTACTGGTATATCCTCGGCCAAATGGAGTGTTCATTTTGGACACCGACGCCAGCAATGTGGGAATGGGAGCCGTTCTTTCGCAGTTACAAAATGTCCAAGAGAAGGTAATCGGCTATTTTAGTAAGACCTTACCAAAAGTCGAAAGAAACTACTGTGTCACTAGGCGAGAGATGCTGGCTGTAGTCAAAGATGTAGAACATTTTTATAAATGCCTATATGGACGACTATGTCCTTCCGAACCAGGAGTCGGAAACCATAGTTGAGGAGCTGGTGAAACAGTTGATAAGTCATTTTGGGGTGCCCTTGGAGTTGCACTCAGACCAAGGGAGGAATTTCGAATCGGCTATATTCCGTTGAATATGTGTGCTCCTAGGAATAAAGAAAACCCGAACCACTCCACTCCATCCACAATCTAACGGCATGGTTGAACGAATGAACCGGACCTTGATTAAATATCTCTCCAAGGTAGTGTCTGACCACCAAAGGGACTGGGACCGCTATTTGCCTTTATTTTTAATGGCATACCGTTCATCTGTTCACGAAACGACTGGCCAAACACCTGCCAGTGTCCTTTTTGGAAGGGAGTTACGACTACCTTGTTACCTCAATTTCGGCTGTAAACGAGGAGATGACTTGGCTGGAGAAGATTATGTTATTAACCTCCGAAGAAAGCTTAACGATATCCACGAGTCGGTTTGTCTGCAGATTGCTACTGACAGGATTAAAGAAAACTACGATATCAAGGCTACAGCAGGTTGTTACCAAACTGGAGATCTTATTTGGTTGTATAATTCTCGTCGTCGCCGTGGACTATCACCTAAGTTCCAACAGAATTGGGAATGACCTTATAAGATAGTGAAGAGGATTAACGACGTGATCTACCGAATTAAGAAAACTCCAAATGGAAAGCCGAAGGTAGTCCATTTTAATAGCTTGGCTCCATTCGCCGGTGCAAATGAACAGGAGGCGCGGCTATTTGACGTAAAGCATGTTACGCCTTTTAATTCGAGAGTTACTTTTCCTGTTTATGGTCTTCTTGGCTACGATTTAACTTACCCCCCCCCACAAAAGAAACATTTTAAGATTTTATTAGTTAATATCCATATAGTTTGCGGCAGCTATGTTTTACAAAATCTGACACAAATCGCATGCATAAGAGGAGATTTATGTTATCCATCCCAGGAAAGAATGAGCTTGCGTCATTATAGGCGGAACAAAGAAAAATTGTTGATTCATATGCTCTTAGATACTGTAACCACCCGCAGGGTGTTACAAAATTGATAAGAATTGGTCAATGAGTTATTCATTTTTTTTTTTTGAGCCATTTAGGTAGGTATATATTCGTTCTAGTTAATTTTGGTTTATTTTTACAAGATGAATAGTTTCTCTTCGTGTAGATTACGCAATTTGATTCTTAAATATTGATTTAGGGGTAGATGCAATATTTCAGGAGTCGGGGTGTGGAATGTTAGGATAATGAGGTAAGTAGAGAAATTGGAAAATTTGAAAGTTGAGATGAATAGATTAGAATTAGATACAGGGCATTAGTGGAGTCCGTTGGTCCGTAGCTGAAGACTTCTGGAGTGGAGACTTTAGAATAATACATACAGGATCGGAGGAAGAAATTGTATGGCGTAGGAAAGCAGGACAGAGTGTAGAAAGTTATTCAAAAAAAAGCGATAGGATAGTGATTATTAAATTAAACTCGAAGCCGGTAAAAACGGTATTAGTGTAGGTCTACATGCCTACATCATCTTACAATGATGAATACGTAGCGACGGTTTATGCAGATGTAGAAGACGTGTCAAGTTTAGTGAAAGGGCAGGAAAACTTAATAGTTGTAGGAGACTTAAACGCAGTAATAGGTAAAGATAAAGACGGTGCAGTAGCAGGTTTTTTTAGATTAGGGAATAGAAATGATAGGGGAAATAGACTGATAAAATTTTGCGATAAAAATAACTTAGCCGTCGCGAATACTTTTTTCAACCATCACGTTAGGAGGCGCTATACGTGGAAGATGCCAGATTATGATTTACAAAGATATTAGTTAGATTACATACTTGTCAGGCAAAAATCAAGTGAAGGAGCATAGGAGTTATCCAGGAGCAGATATAGGTATCGATCATAACGTAGGAGTTATGAAGACCAATCTTAAATTGAAAATTATGAAAAAGAGGGAATGTAGGAGACGTATTGATCTAAAAAAACTAAAATAAACGAATGTTAGGGACATAGAGACAGAATGGAACTGAACCAAAAATTAGCAGAATGATTTTAGTTAACCGAGAAGGCAGGTAAATCAGGACAGAAGGAGTAGTAGGGTTATAAAGCAGAATTTATTTTGCTATTCATTTACTGTTTTGTCAAGACGAAGCTCTCTATTGAAGAGCTTTTGTTTAGAGAGGGGGAGTCCCTGTATGTTGTACTTTTGTTGTTCTGAACTGTCATAAAAATTAGAGGCAGTGATCCACAGTGACAGGTATCACCCACCTTATAATGGGAACATGGTTCTTGTCGGCCACTTTCCCAGCCTTTGTTTATTTTGTCATTTATTAATTATTTAAGGTTTATTATTCTAATTGGGTTTGTTGGGATTTTCCCAATCCTTGAAATGAATGTTTTATTTCAGGTCCCTCAAAATTTCAACGTATACATCTAAATATATAAATAAAATTATTATCATCTGAATTTCTGTGTATTGTTTTGTTATCACAACGTAAATATAAAAGGTCCTGCCACTATTGACTATCAAATTCTTCGATTAAATAAATACGATACTAGATTTTACAAGTTCGTATCTGATCGGGCGGATCGGTCACAATTCTAGTAAAACTCCTAATTCCATCTAGCAGAGATTAGTAGCGTATAGCGCTATCCTTTTTCAATGCTATATTTATCGAATTATATTCCACAGTCCTGTCATTTATTAGTTCACTATTCTTTTCTGTTTGTCTAAATTTTGTCAATTTAGGAACAGGATAGTGAACATCAATTTCCTGGAATAGATAATAGTTGATTGACTTTGTATGTTATTGGTTATGGGTAATAGAATTAAATATTGAAAGTCTAATTTGTTGAAAATTTTTAGGAGTTTATGATTCTTCCGACTGGAGCCGGATCGTTCACTGAAGCTATGAAAATGGGTTCTGAGGTGTATCACCACTTAAAGAATGTAATAAAAAACAAATTTGGTTTAGATGCTACAGCTGTTGGTGATGAAGGTGGTTTTGCTCCTAATATTCAAAGTAATAAAGAAGCACTTAATCTTATAAATGAAGCTATTGCCAAGGCTGGTTACACTGGAAAGATTGATATTGGAATGGATGTAGCAGCATCAGAATTTTATAAGGACGGTTAGTTGTTTTTAGAATTTAATTTTATCTACAATTTTAAAAAATCGATATACGTAATATGGATTTCTTTTTGAAATGAAACTTATTTGCGCACGGTAGGGTAAGTTGGCTTCATGCGAGTTGCAATGTAACGAAATCATGCAACGAAATCATGGCCGAGAAGAGGGGGGACCCCTCTTCTCGGCCACGTAGTCGAGTTCGTAGTGGGGATCGCTTGAGCCGTGAGCGCGCTTCAATGCAACGTTCGTTACAGGCAACTCCGGCATGTATAGTGTAGCCCTAACAAAATGTATGAATGTATTTTTTTGTGTTTGTGTATGTGTGCATACACTACAGTTGAAACGACGCCACTGACTAACCTAGACGCCTCAGTTAGCCCATGTGGCGTTGTATACACCGGAGTATTTTGTGGAAAATTTAGTGAAATATATAATTACATATTTCGTATTTTTATGTCTAATGAAATCAGTTTGTTCGGCAACGTAAATAACGAACCGAAGGTAAGGTTCAGAGAATTATAATGGAAGTGTCGCCTGGTAGATATATATAACAGTTTTAACCCAAAATTTATCCAAAAGAAAATTTCTTCGCCGAACTCTCGAGGGGGATATAAAGAAATTTTTTTCCAGGGGGGTTTCATACATATCCCCCCAGTGGTGACCCCTGCGGGAGGGGGAGGAGAGACTAAGACTATATACTTGCATCGCTTCGTGAATAATATAAAAAATACATTTTCCACCTTGACTCCCGTAACTCGGGAGGTAGTAAGTGTATTGGGGAGTTTGATATTGATATTGATAACAACTCAGGGCACCTCCCAGAGTTTCCTAGACTCCCTCTCATCACTTCCTTACTTGCTTTACTACAGCCAACGGCATTTAAGTTGACATCAACTTCATTATTTCATAACGACCTGTATATTATGACGGTTTTAAATTTTACTTCTTCACGATTTTACGTAGATTTTCATAAAGCTTATCTACCTCTAAAATTTATGATTTTCGAGATATTGATTTTTTAAAAAAGTAGCACAGCAGTAGGTAGCGAAAAAGCACGCCTATTTTACAGTGTAAAAACGGGAGCAACAATACTCCCAGGAGAAGTAGCTAAAGCCTCAAGCTTCTCGTATATATATTAGATATTTAATGGCGGATTTGGTTAGCTTCAAACAACCCGAATTAACGAAATCAGCTGATAATAATTAAATGTATTAGTTTAATCGTTCGGTATGCCTCTCATTTAGCTTTAAGAAATTGTTTTCCCTTCTGGTAAACTCGTGTGTAATAGCTTGAACCATCAAACTAATACATTTGATTATTATCAGCTAATATCGTTAATTATTTAATTTTATTTACGATTCGTTTGCTTTTTTGCTAATGTTATCATTGGTTTACTGTATTGCAATTGATTTCTTAAAATCCTTCTTAATTTGAATACGTATTTACATTTTCATTCTTAATAACAATAATATTCAGTAGTTGACACTGAGAAGCAAAATATTTAATTACTAAACTGTCAGAATGGGCGTTTGAGTGACTCAATTAACTTGTATTATTTGTTTTGTTTTGCTAAGAATTTCGCAACCATTTTTGAAATAAAATTAAAAGATTTTAATTGCTTTCACAAAGTACAGTAAATAATTTGAAACTTAAAGATGAGTATAGGGAATCATAGTATCATTCTAAAAAGAATAAAATTGTGCATACAGGGTGTTCCATTAAAAAAAATGGATTTACAATTGCTTGAAATTAATCAAATTCGCGGTTAAATATCTAAAACCCTGTATATTATGATGTTCGTGGGTATAACAAAATTAACTTCTAAAACTGATAACGACAAAAAACTACTTTATTTACACTAATTATTAAAGAACTTAAAAACACTATTANTTCCATTAAAAAAAATGGATTTACAATTGCTTGAAATTAATCAAATTCGCGGTTAAATATCTAAAACCCTGTATATTATGATGTTCGTGGGTATAACAAAATTAACTTCTAAAACTGATAACGACAAAAAACTACTTTATTTACACTAATTATTAAAGAACTTAAAAACACTATTAAATTATTACTAAACATAGGTTGTGAATTATTCTATTTATTTACACTACTGTTGATATATCATTATTCACTGCGCTATTTATTTCATTGCTATCACTGTCAATTTATTTCTGGATTCATTTCTGTAACGGTCAATTTATTTCTACTTCTCTCGGCGATCGCCTCTTCCTTTAAATACTCTTATGTTTACTTGCGGGAACCTTCTGGAAACATCCGGACAGTTATTTTTTTTCTTTGAACTGTTTAACTGCTTTTTCAGAACGCAGGTACGATACACACATTTACAAATACGGCGCACATGAAGAAAGGCGCGAAACACACTCGTGCTCGCTACAATATAAATGTCAAATACGTATGCTTTTTCGTTACCTACTGCTGTTACTTTAAAAAAAATAGTAATATCTCGAAAACGATAAATTTTAGAAGTAGGAAAACCTTATGAAAGTCTACCTAAAATCATACGTATAATTCAAAACCGTCATAATATACGTGTTGTATTTGAAATAACGAAGTTGATATCAACCTTCGGTATAACCGGAAGTGTTGCATAGATGCCTATATTGTAATTCAGGAGAGTATAACGTTATTGTATAAATTTTCAAAATTTAAATCGAAGTGGGTAGTCACCGTGAGACTCTCTGTAGGTATACAAATGGGTGCTTCCATGGAAATAGAGCAACTCTATGATGTAATTAGTCTTTACTATTTTTTACATACTGTGCAATTTTAAATTAGTGTGATTTATGACTGATCGATAAGAATAATTAATGTTCAAAAGGACCAGTCACTTTGTTTAGTATTTTAAGAGAAATTCAGGTTTTTGTAAATTTAGACGACTAGGGACTGACAGATAGCTACGGACTGATGAAAATTATGCTGATATACTGTAATATAAGATTTTTTAAGGCAATTAATGTAATAAAATAAGACTCCTACACAGGCATAGCTTCACTTTTATTAGGAACGTATTTTAGAC